CTATAGGTACGAGACGACTAGACGAGTCGTCGCCGTCGTTTGGTTCGCAATAAAAACACTATATTTTATTGTATAGCCGAACGTACTATACGATTATTGCTCGTCAGGCTTTAAAAAAATATACAGGGTGTCCCTCGAGGATTTACGCATTGCGATATCTCATGAAATAATGGAGATATCAAAATTTTGGTTTTGTTATAAGACTCACAGGGATAAGAACTAAAATTATTTAAATTTTAAATTTATTTTAATGTTTTGGTAAAAGATTTAAAAAACATAACTTTTTATTTAATTATTTCCAAAAAATTAAGATAGCCATTTTGTAGAGTTTATTTTTCTGAAAATATTGACGTTTCAAAATTGAATTTTCATTAATTTCCTAATTTTTAATATTTTTTTCTAGTTTTGACGAATTAAAATATGATAATAATTATAAATTTATTACTACAGTAGGGTYTCGATAATCCGAACACAGGTTAATCCGAAAGACGCGGTAATCCGAACAGGCTTGGGAATTATCTTATCGCCATAATATGCACATATGTATGTATTTATAAATAAAATAAATAAAATTTTTCAATTATGAGACAAGGCATACCAATCCATAATGGGAATCAATGAACAAAAAAAATTAATAAATCGATATTTTAAATATTAAAGTTCATAATTATATTAATATTTTTATATATGCATTGTCTTTTGAAAYTATGAGCTTTTACACGATTTATACAAATAAAAATAAAATTTCATATCTTAAATTACAATAAAATTTATGATTTTTTAAAGCCATAGGTAATCCGGACAAATCGCTAATCCGTACGACCCCTTTTCCCCAACCTTATTCGGATTATCGAGACCCTACTGTATTAGGAACACGGAAAGTATTCAGCCGACCGTATGGGAATGCGCGCGGCGCGGCGGGTCACATGTTTGATAACACTGCGAAGTTAAATAATTCACAGCTTTTCTCGAAACTAAAAAAAAATTAAAAATCAGGAAATCAACGAAAATAAAATGTTGAAACATCAATATTTTCAGAAAAATAAACTCTAGAAAATGGCTATAGGTAGTGACTTTTTTTGAAAATAATTGAATAAAAAAATATATTTTTTAACCCTTTAATCAAAGCATTAAAATATATAATTAAAATATGAAATAATTATAGTTCTTATTCTTGTGAGTCTGATTATAAAACCAACATTTTGATATCTCCATTATTTCTGGAGATATCGCAATTGATAAATCTTCGCGGGATACCCTGTATTATATATTATCGTTTAATATAATATACGCCTACTTTATTATTATTATTATTTTATAGTGCAGTTACAATGTTTTCAATTTATTGATATCAACCATATCGTCTGTTTTTATCGTTATATAACGCGCGAAATCATTCGACCATATATTTTATAAAATATCCCTTAAAAAAAATGATTCGTTTTCAAATAATATTATGTTTGTTTTAAATAATACAAATATAACATCAAGGCGGATATACTACGGTTTGAAATTTTAGTTCAAAGTGGGTAATAATAATATCTCATCAAATCCACATTATAAAAAAAGAAAATACTCAATGCCAATATGTAATAGGTCAATATAAATAGATATTAAAGATTTTGCATTTTTATTTTTAAATTGCACTTTTCCCTCTGCAGTTTACACAGACTATAACGAATCATTCATTACGGTTATGTTTTCGGTAGCTTTGGTATTGATTTTGGAATAATATGTATTCTCTCCCGCTGCAGGATCTCAAATTGACGAAAAACCATTTGTATCATTATTTAAGATAACAACATTGTCGCCAGCACTATAGTTCCGTTTGTTCGTGTAATATTAAATTTTTGAATAATATTAAAAACTCCAAATTTTACAAAGGGCTTGCCGAGTGTAAACTTAATGAATGATTCGCCAGAAGCAATACATTCGTTACGTATGCCGTCGCCGCCTAAATGACAACACATTTGGAATAAT